GTCCGGGCTGGGGATTCGAACCCGCCACCTTAGGTGTACGTGGCTGGCGCCTTAGCCGGTTGAGCTATAGGCGCCGAGCCCATGCTGCTGAACTTTAAACTGCAGAAGTTACAGCTACAGTGTATGGTAAGTGGTTAGAGAAGGCATTACATTTGGGGGCAGAAGACATGAACAGAAAACAAGTTCCATGTGATGGTAAAATGTTGCACCAGAAAGCACCAAGCCTATACAAAGGCTTCAGCAAGGGATCCCTGAAATATGTGATACTAAGCCATTTACTTGCAAGTAGGGGGTAATTATACAGATTCAGGAATAAGTTTAGAGTGAAAAATATAAAAATTATTGGAAGGGGTGCATCTACCTCTTCATCCCATCACATATGCATTTTATCATCTCACATCAGAAGAGTGAGTTCAGGCCAGGCACAGTGGCTCCCGCCTGTAATCCTAACACTCTGGGAGGCTGAAGGCTGGTGGATTGCCTCAGCTCACAGGTTCCAGACCAGCCTGAGCCAGACCAGCCTAAGCCTAAAAATAGCTGGGTGTTGTGGCAGTTGCCTATAGTTCCAGCTACTGGGGGCAGGGTGGCGGGGTAGGCTGAGGCAAGAGAATCTCTTGAGTCCAAGAATTTGAGGTTACTATGAGCTATAAAACTACAGGACTCTACTGAGGGTGATAAAGTGAGACTCTGTCTCGAAAAGGAAAAAAGAGAAAGAGTAAGTACAGTACAATAAGGTATTTTGAGAGAGTGATTCACATAACTTTTATTATAGTATATTGTTATCATTATCATGTTTTATTATTAGCTGTTAATCTCCTACTGTGCCAAAATTATGTAATAAATTAAACTTTATCATGGGGTATATATATACATGTGTGTGTGTATAGATAAATACAGTAAAAAATAGTATACATAGGGTTTGATACTAGCCACAGTTTCAGGTATCCAGTGGGGGTCTTGGAACATACCCTTGCAGATATAGGGGAACTCCTGTATTAGTTAAATGACTGAATGGGTGAGTTAGACATTGTATTTACTTTTTAAAGATCTTCAAATCTAGAGGGGAGGTAAACATTGTTGCAACAGAGGATAAAGAAGGGACTATGAAACCTCCAGAGAAATTCAGATCAGGCAAGGAAGAGCAAGACTCAAAGCATTAAGGTTAGATTTGTGCTTTTGAGATGAAAACCCCTTAGTAAACAACTCCCAAGATAGGGAATGCAGTGAGTCCAGAGAAGACACTAAAGAAAATTTCACACCTGGCAAACAAATTCTACTGAATATTCAGATTAAAAGCATTTAGTAAGTACTCATTGACTAATTGCTTGCCACAGCTTCTAAAATAATCAGATTTAAACTAGAGGCCCTGCCCACCTCTTTGAGTATTTATACTAATAAACTGTATTTCCCAGCATGCATCACAATTAAGGCGGTAGAGATTTTTGAAAAATTGACTACAACTCCCGGCATGCCGCGTCCAGGCGGCGAGGACCGCACGCCCCAGCAGGCCGGGGCAAAGGCCTATCGGGGGCGGGTCGGGGCCTCGAAGCGGGTTTGACCTAAGGGGCGGCGGCGGCGGCGGCAGGAGGAGGAGGAGGAGGATGGAGGCGGTGGTGTTCATCTTCTCTCTCCTCGATTGTTGCGCTCTCATCTTCCTCTCGGTCTACTTTGTATCCTTGCCTGTGGCGGGCGGGCCGGCCTAGGGCCCGCCGGGGCGGGGGGACAGGGCTGAGGGTGGGCCGCTGAACACCGGAGCAGGTGTGTGGGGGCCGGGCGGCGCCCGGCGCGGGTCCCTGGGTGCAGGCTCGTCCAGGGCGGCGGCGCAGGACGGGACAGAGGGCCCAGCTGCCCTACCTGGCCTGGCCGTGCTTCCCGTCACCCGCCTGCCCTGCCCGGGCTGCCGGCGCCCCTCGCCGGCGTCGCCCCGGCCCGTGTGGCGCGCTCCGGCCGGGCTTGCGCGCCTGCCCACCGCTCGGCCCCGGGACGCCCAGACCGACCCGCCCTCCGCGGCGGCTGGTCCTCGGCCTCCCTTTTGGCTCTCTGGAGAGAAAGGTCGCCTTTTTTTCTTGAAGAGTTTCCGCACAGTGCTTTCTGTCGGATGCCGAGAGTGGTCGTTTTCCGACGGTTGGGTACCGAGACGAGCCAAGAATATTTGCCTGCTCTTGTCATTCCCCGGGGAACATCCTGGCCACCCGCCCCTTTGTTCTCACGGGTGTTGCTACTTGTAGGAACCTTTCACATCCAGGAGTTGACTCATTCCAGAAACGGGCAAAGTGCTTTTTTCATGATGGCGTTTCGGAGTGATTGTTAGGAAGGCGTTATTAAAAAAAAAAAAGTGATTATTTTGATTGCCCCTGGCGGTTGCAGATTTGTAAATTAAATAACTCCATGATTTAGCTACCAGCCATTTTTCAACTTTTAAAATTTTCTGTTGCACCATGTTAAAACTTAAGTATTTTATATAGTTGTGAATTGTTATATTATTCGAACTGTATTTTCCGGACTAATGGTTGTTGAAACTAGCACTGTAGTAGCATGAGGGCTACAACTCTTAGTTGCTTTAATTAAATGTTAGATAGGAAAAACGTATGAAGAATTCTGCATTTCACCGTCTTTCTTTAGAAATCACATGTACTCCTTTCTGATAAAATCAAACATTTATTTGCCAGAACATGCTGGCCTTAGTTAGCTGTACAGAGTATGTGTTCATTGTGGCTTCCTTTGCTGTGAACATTCTTTCATTTCTGCGAACGTTAGTTTTCTTGTCTTTAAGATGGAAAATGTTTATGTCCTGGATATGTCCAACAAGATTCTGTTACAGACCTTAGCAGTGTCTGCCCCATAGCTACTATTCAGGAACTATTGCTTTACCTTCCTCTTCTCTCCAGTTTACTTGGATGATCTCTTCTCTTCCTTTCCTTCCTTTCTTTTTTTTTTTTTTTTCAAGATAGAGTCTCACTCCTGCTCAGTCTAGAGTGCTATGGTGTCATAACTTATAGCAACCTCAAACTCCTGGGTTTGGGCAGTTCTCTTGCCTCAGCCTCCCAAGTAACTGGGACTACAGGCCCTGCCACAAGGCTGGGCGAGGATATCATTTTTTTT